GGGGGGGGGGGGCATCTGGCAAAAGGCTTGTTGTTTTGACTGAGTCACTGCTGAAAGGACAGAGTGATTTGCATTTTTTTGCAACAGGTTCAGATACATGCCTGCATACAGAACTTTTATATGTGTGGCATAAATATTTATTGGCTGGAAGTGTAATTATAAATAGCGAATCTTGGTTTTAAAATGAAATAATTGCCTTACAGAAATTATTATTATACTTTTTTTTACACCTCAGAGCCCAGATCAGTCTGGTTTTTATCCCACTTTGCTGCCAAATTGACCAGAGAGTACCAGACTCCATTTGAACATTCTTGGTCCTTCTGTGTAAAATTCCTGGCACATCCTAGAAAAATGTGGTTATTTAATCAGGAAAGGGATTCACTTAACCTTTAGATTACAAATGCTGTGACAAGATAGCAGCACCACATATAGCTAACAAACAACAGAGCTTGAAGGACAAATAACACAGACTTACAATTAATTCGATTCAATATGAACAGAATAACAGATAACAGAATAACAGAAGATTAATAATTATATAATATAATAATAAAATAATAATTAATAAATGTATCCGGCACATAGTAGATAAAAATCCTTCAAACATAAATATATAAAATGACTAAATAAAATCATCCTACAGCCTATCCTAATCCAAATTATTTTAGAAACACTAATCAACGAAAAATGAAGATCAGCTTTCGTCCAATTCAAAGAAAATATATTTAAAATATAGAAATAATATGATCGGGGGTTCCACTGGCCACTCTCCTCATCTACGATAGACAGCCATTTAAACCCCTGCTGAGTCATAACTAAAGACATAAATGTTATCAGATCTTGCATAATGCATATGCTCGTGGGAGTTGTGACATGAAACATTTTGCAAACCCGTGGGTTAACCTATAAATAAAGTTAGTCACCTTTGTCTTAATAGAAAATGGTTTGCCCATAAACCACAACTACAGGGATGACTTGAGATGATGTTATTTGACAGACACAGTATCATTAAGTTGAATTAACACGTGTGTTTAGTGAGACACACTCTGCTGACACGTTGGCTTCAGGGGAAGACAAGGTGGGTGTATGAGTGGGGTTGAGTGAATGAATAAATGTAGATTGTGTGGATCTGTGTGTGTGTGCTGGTGCTTTCCCCTTAATATGTCAAATCAGCACGGTGGAAAACCCACATCAACCAACCTCGAACAAGCCACACTTGTTCCATTAATTCATCATTGTCAGAAGTTGTGTTTATATCGTGTCTCCATGCAAACATTGACCTTCCTTGTATGGAAAACATCCTTTAATATTAACAAGCAATGCAAATGATGTCAGATGACCTTTCTCTTATTGTGCCCCACAGTTACTCGCTGTTACTCATCCCTGGCATGTGTGTGTGTGTGTGTGCACATGTATGTGTGTGCATACCCATGTGTAGAGCACCCACTGTAAGATATTTTATTAGCTGGGGCAATATTTGTGGTTATGTGCTCAGTAGCATGTAAACACTCCAAAGTTTCAAACTTTGCAAAAGCAAAAATCAGCAATGTCTTCAGCGGTTTGGGTGTTGTTGCTTTTCACTTCCCCTGCCATTGGCACATTTACTAGATTCACGAATGTGTCATGTGTGTTTGTGCACGTGGGTATTAGTGTGTGCATATTGTGTACAAAGTCTATCTCATTTGAGAGTGTTTTCATAACAATGCCACAGCAACTCTTTATTGCCCATTATCCCCATTTCTCCACTTATGGGCATGATGTGGGCAGTATTGTATTACTGCATGTGTGGGTAGTGTGCATTTTAATCCTATCTTTATGAGGACCTAGTATCATGACAATGATGGTAAGTCGAGAAAGACTTTCCAAATGACAACATTATTATTGGTCCCTGTTTTTAAGTTAATCTTTGATTAATTAAAACTGGCTTCAAGGTTAGGATGTGCTCTACATAGACATTAAAATTAAGCTCAAGGTTAAGGTTTTAAGTTAAGGCTACATTTGAATATGCGTTAATTTGGGGGTTGGCTTTAGGGTTTTGGAGAAACTAAATAGGATCTGACTCTTAAATAAATCTTAAGACCTCACAAATATAGAATAACAAAATTGTATGTGTGTGTGTGTTTACATCCATGTGTGTCTATTGATTTGGGATGTGTGCAAGAATACAAAGAGACCCCTGAGAGTAAGGGGTCAACAGCTGCTCCCCAACAACCAATCAATTGCAGTGTATCAGTAAACATTACACACAGACACACACGCGCGCACACACACACGCACACGGACACATACAGACGGCACTCTGTTCTCGAATCTGTTGCCATGGATACCAGATACAGGCAGCCAAGAGGGAGCAGTTTTCCAGCTTAAACTGTAAATATTGAATTATGATGGGGAGGAAAGAGACAGCAGTGCAGGGCAACGTTCCTGTCTGAATGATCTAAATATCTAGATAATCCTTTCATCTCTATTCACCGCTACAGGAAATCTGGTGCATCATTCATGTTCATCAAGTTCAACATAAAAAGATCAATCTGTCTTCCCGATCCTGCCATTTATCTAACTCTCTATTACAGACTGAGAGCTGCCCCCATTCCTTCATCTCTCCCTGCTTTTTGTCTGGAAGATTCCCTCAAGTGGGACACAAAGTAAATGCTTCCCCATGCCTGATTTGCAATACATAAAAGGGAATTTCATTCAAACCACTTTACCAAATGCTTAAGCTTTTATGTGGCAACAGTTCCTCTGTGGTTTCTATAGGGAGAAGGGAGATTGAGAGATTTAGATGAAGATGTGAAGATGCAGATAAAATGATTTAACAATTAATAAATGCTTTGGCAAATGTTTTAAGTGGGGCCACTGGAGAGAAACATTGAGAGAGACTGAGAGAAGAGGAAAAGAGAGACTCTAAAGGTGAATGTCAATAATTGGTTTGTTGTCTGTATGAATAATATAAGCAGTGGAGTCAGCAGAGCTAGAATAATAATAACAAACTGGTATTCATAACTAAGCTACAGCACTTGACTGCACCAGGAAAAGGAGCAGTGAGAGTCAACATGCTAACCTTGAGCTGACATTGTGAGCAAGAGAGGCTCACGTTCAATCAATGAAGGGCTTTTCTCAGGGAGTCCACTAATCTCACAGGGCAGCAGAGGGTTCATCAGAGCTGAGAGACCCCTGGGACTGACAGAGGTAATGGGGTTAGCTGAGAGAAGTGGAGAGGGAGTGTGTACGTGTGCGTGTAGGTTGAAAAGGTCTTCGCTGTGAGCAAGACGGAGAAAGCATGCAAGGAACATGCAATTGTGTGATAACGTGCACATGTGTGTTGCACAGATACAGATGTGCGTAACACAAGTGCATCTGTGCTTGTGTGCGTGCATGTCAGAAGGAGCAAGGGCCATGCTGATAGAGTGAGAAGTTAATGGGACGTGTGACAAGGTTGATTACTGAGGCCTCAGTGATCTGACTGGGTTAATGAAGTAAATGACTTCTTGGCTAACACACTACTGGGGCTATCCCCCAGTTCCTGATACACTCAGATAAACCAGAATGGCCTTTTCTTCTCCCTCATTTACCTCCCAGAGACGAAGAACACCCTGCTGTCCTTAGTTGCATAAGACACTTTCAGTGCACCCGTGGCATCATGGGTTTGAATCCATCCTGAGACAGTTTTAACATGTCCTCTTCTTGTGATCTCCAAATGCTTTTTTTATTTCCTTCCTGTATACTATGAAGAGAGGCAAAATAACTGCACATATAGGCTACATACAGCAATTCATTAAAACTGAGCTGCTCAGCACACAGTGTGTCAGTCTTTCTGTGGGGACTAAAGTGGCCGCCTGCCATTTGCACATGCAGCCGTACCTGCAAACACAATGCTACACACACACACACACACACACACACACACACACACACACATACACACTCACACTCTTACAAACACACAAACAAATGGAGAAAAAGAGTTATTGCAAGACTTTGTTCTCCATTTGGAGCTGAGATAGAGATTCTTCTAATGAGAGCGATAATGATGTCTGAGAAGAGATGCAGACCAGAACAAAACAACAACGCAGATGGGAGCTGAGACAACAACAAAGACAGCCCTAAATGCAGTTGACTGTGGACTCCCTGCTGTCTCTGTCTATGTGAAGAGATGACACTGCACCCATCCCCCTGCTACTTATAGGGACATTATCATAATGTTGTCTCTGTATGAGCCGAGCTATCAAGTGGGCTCATCTTGAAGTCCTCCGCAAGCCCCGGTGTATGCTGATGCCTCAGGATGCTGGAGGAAGACAGCGGTGAACAAAACAAATTCTGCCCTAATATTTATTCAAACTGACAGTTCTGGCATCTAACAATGCAGCCCAGGACTGACAGCACCAATTTGATGAATCTCTGCGTTGGTTGTAAACAAACGGTTGCAAGGAAGATAATGATTGTCCTTCTGTTTGTCCCTCTGCTTTTTTATTGTCTTGTCACTACAGACATCTGCAAAGAATAAATGTGAAATGGGCAAAGTGAATCCTGTTGTGGACTGTAAACGGTTGATGTGTTGCAGGAACTGTCACAAGTTGGATGCATTTGGGTTCAAATCCTGGTTTAAATGCTGACAAAAAAACAAAAA